AGGCATCTTCGTCCTCAGCCTGAGGTGGTGGTGGTGGTGGGGGTTGTGGGCAGTGCTGCTACCCGAGCGACTGACATGCTCTTTTTTTTTTGGAAAAAAAATGGTAGTAATAATAAAAAAAACAACCAGCAAAGAAGCTAGGGAGCGCTTCTCCCAGGCGCAGGGTGGCCCAGGCTTGAGGTCCCATAAGGGGGAAACGTGGGGTGGTGGGGTGGGTTTCACCCTCACTTATGTTGACCCCCAGGACCTGGTTCCTGTGGCTGCAGGACGTGGGTGGGCAGAGCCCGGCCATACCCCCACGGCCTGGGCTGCCCGGGGCTCTGCATCCCTGCTGGCCCAGGGCTACTGCTAGCCGAGATGTTGCTGTAGTTTTTTCTCAGCAGGGATCAGGAAAGACCCCAGGAAATCCCGTGAGGATTGCCTCTACAAAAAAAATTAAATAAAATATGGCTGCCTCAGGATTGAAGGTGCCTTCTCGTTTACCTCACGTAACCCCAAGGTTAACAAAGGATTTAGTTTGACTAATGAAGGAATTACGTTGTGTTGGGGGATGGAAAGAGGATTAAGCTTTTCTCCAGGGGAAGCGGAGTTGTAAGAGAGAGAGACCAAGACAAATCAGGTGAGGTAGAAAGACAAGACTGGATAGAGAAGTGGGGTGGCCATGTTTATGCGGGGTGGCCTACGGCCAGGGGTTTTGAGGGCAACAATTAAGCAAAACTTTTTTGCCGTTATTAAGGTGTAAAATTGGAGGGACCCTCTCAGTAGAAAGGTAATCTCAAGCTAGTCGGTTTTAATTTACAGAGAACAGTGTCCTGGCTGAGTACCTTCTCATGGTGTGCAATTACTGCTTATAAGGCCTGTGGGCCCTTTCTGGCCATTTGCTTGAGCACCTATGGTCCCTTTTTAAAATTCACTGTGCTGGCCTGGCAAACAGGTGGAGCTGTGCTCCACCAAGTGACACATGGCTCCTTCAAGAAGTGCAGTGTTTTGTATATTTAGCTGCCTGCAGGCTGTGGAAAGAAGGGCTGCTGGGAAGGGAAAATGATAGGAGGAACAGGAGCTGATATGGCAGGGTTGTAACGGGTGGCTATGATGAACTGTTAAAAACATTTCACATGAGAAAAAGTGCATGTCATGAGGGGGGTCAGTGGAAACTGATGAAGGTTAAGAAATTGGACACCATCACTGAGGCTGTAGCAACAGGAATAAACAGTGTCTGTGGGAGCCAGATCTGAAATGGACAGCCCCAGTCTGCTTCAAAACAAGAATATAAATAAATAGTTCTGGCAGAGGAACAGAGGCAGCATACTACAGTGCCTGTTACCCAGCAAGCTGCTGCTTTGAAGCTTATATCAGCAACCGTCTGCTTCTCTGGTGTGAATGCCTCATTTTGCGCAAGGATAGCTTTTTATGCAGTAACTAGGATTAAGTCAGCTTGTTAGAGAGGCAGTTTTGGGTGTTTGCAGCTCTTCATGTAGGTCTGCTGTGTTGGTACTTGGTTTTGATTCCTTGCACTGCCTTCATTTTCCATGATTGCTTTTACTTTTTGAAAAGATAACAGAAAATTTGAAGTTTGAATTCAAGTGTCAAAATCGGGTAAAGCAATGGTTGGAGTGGGAGCAGCGTTATCTGTCTGTGGGGTCTTGGTACTTACGTAGCCTGCTATTCTTGCCTTTGCTGGACTTGCCTCTGCAGGCTGTCCCTTTAAAGTTCAGCAGACAAGCGTCCTGTAGGAAGTCTGGTCATTAATTTATATTTGTAAATTCAAATAAGCTTTAACAGAACAGCCAATGTCCTTGTACTTTCATATGTCAAAGGTCTAGGTAGGAGTTATAAAACACATTTCATTGCTTTCTTTCTAAGGAAACTTCTACTGTTGTTGAGTGATGGTGAGCAATCCTAGAGTCAAAAGTTATTTTCTCATAATGCACAGAACAATAAGCTATAAGTTAGCTGTTATCACACAGGAAAGAGACAAAGAGATGGTCAGAAGTGCTGCTAGAGGAACTAAGGAAAACCAGTTAGCTTTGGGATGCTCTTTGGTATGTTCATCTTGAGTACACAGTTCTGGTAGTTCCTTCACAAGAACAGCATAATATGCTAAAATAGGTACATAGAATAGCAGCCAGGATGATCAGCAGTGTTGACTTGTGTCCATGTGAGGAAAAACTGAAACATGCTAGGGCTATTCAGTATGGAGAAGAAGCAGCTGTGGAGGATATGCCAGAAGTCTATGAAGTGAGGAGTGGAATGGAAAAAGGTGAAACTGAGAAGTGGCTGTTGATTGTCTCTCACAAAACAAGAAGTAGGAAGCACTGAATGCAATTATCAGGCAAAGGTTGTAGGTTTTGTGCAACATATAATTCATCTTTGGAATTTATTGCTATGGGATATTGGAGAGGCTAAAGGTGTGAAGGATTAAAAAAAAAAATTACAAGACAAGTCTTTTGTCCATGAGTGGCTGTTTAGCACAACGGATTGGAGGAGACCTTTGTCTTCGAAGGTCTCTAAACATCAGCTTCTTTG